CATGAATGAGGCACGTGTGAACAAATTGTAAGTGCAAAATTTATCGTAGTGTTAAATAATAGTTTTTAAAAGCATGGATTAATCAGTATTGGCCATAAAATATAACGACTTGCTAGAATAGGCCCTCAGATAAAGGCAAAAGTGTAATGATGAGTTCTAGCTAGTATATTTAAATCCAAAATTTCTGGAGCATATTAGAGTTTGACTGCTTAATGACGCCATGGTGTGCGAAAACCCAGGAAACTAAATCGCTATCACAGTTGAAGTCTGCCGAAGAAAATTGCTAAATTTCGAAATAAAAATTGGACAATGATCATGTTAAAGCATTCAGTAACAACCAGATAATCTTYATTTGAAGACTGCCAAGCTGCAAGGATAGATAGACTCACTCTTTTCACGTTTTGAAAGGTAAATATATATGTAACGTTTTTGATGTAGTMATTATTTGAATTATTTGTAGAATTTGTCTGAAATAGCTTGCTTAAATTATTTTTTCACCGCTTTCCATGAATTGATTCGGTAAAGTGTTAGAAGTGCTGTGTTGTTAAGTTACTCCCTGGGATAAATCATCTTTRGTCAGAGTGAYTAGTGCCTTATTAAGATTTTATYCCAACGGTTCAAAYAYTCGAATAATTTCTTTATTGTTTTTATTTGATAGAGTACGTKTGCTTACAATARAAAAATWAAAAAATWAAAAATCACTGTTTTTCKCTCTCCCGAATCAAAAAAGAGAGTTGGTTGTACAAGAAAGAAGTATTTCTGTGTTTAAAATTGGCGCAGGAAAGCTTTTTTTCAGCTGACCCCAAAAATGTTTTCATCAAGAGCGGAAGGTGAAGTGCTGACTCTGAAATGGCTTTTTCTTGTTCAAGCATTGCGATTGGTAGGGTAGATTTTCGTGGCTCTTGATTGGTTTGTAGGCCTGGGAGAAAGCCAATATTGAATGTTATGGTAATTTGGTTTGTTTATTGTACAAAAACTATATAAATTTTTTTTGTTCCTATCCCAGAACTCATAAAACAGTTTTATAGCTTTCGTTGAGCTTGATTTCGCGGTAAGAAAAATATTTTTTATCGTTTGGGAACAAATTGAAAACGKAGCAATCTGATTGGTGCTCTCCTTATTTATGATAACGAGGATGTAACGATTACTAACGATATCGGATTGTATAAACATGATAATGATAATGAAAGCAAATTACAGTGATCATAATAATGGGGTGATAATGAGAATATGCAACGATAAGATCATCGATAGTGACACGAGTGAAAAACGTCTGCGCATGTTCTGAATCCGTATGCAAATTAGTCAAARCATAAGTAAATTTGACTTTCAAACATGCCTGATAAATTGGACTTCACAAAATGCCAAACCTTAGTGTCCATGCTTGAAACTTAAGGCTTTCATATTGTGTTTGTTAATACAGTATCTTGGTCTGACAAAAGTATACTCTCGAACTTTTTTGTATACTTGGAGAAAACAAACGTTTATTTTCTCACTCAAACTCTTCAAAATCGGCTTAGAAAACGTGCTGAAGTGCACGCATGCGCAAACGTTTTTCTTTAGTGTCATCGATAGTATCATCAAGTTAATGAGAAATATAACAAATAAAGGTTATAATGATCAAGACTGCAATGAATGTTTTTTAACAATAACTGTATGAAGATAACGATAAAGAAAACGATAGTTTAGACACGATAATGACAAAAATAATAAATCACAATTATATCATGATCAAGATATAATGAATGTTAATCAGTAGAGTGCACGGACTAAACCCATGAAACAAATACTACCTTTCAGTACTAAATGGTGATACACTTATTTCAATAAAGTTAGTCACCAAAAACCTAGAAAGCTGAGATCACTGAGCATCATGGGAAACTTTTCATATCAAAAAAGCATATATATACAAAGCTTTTTTAATACAAACTGCAGCTGGATGATGCTCAGACGAGGTGAGACAGTAACCGGTAAGAGATTCGCAAGTCCATGAACAGTTATCAAGCGATTGAACGTGTAAAATGAATCTACCCATAATCCTTGTAGACCTCAGCTTTATAGCTTTTCAGGTGACCAACTTTATTGAAATAAGTGTAAATAAACAATAGAAAATAAAGGATTCTGTATGAAATAGTGCTAATTAGTACTAATTAATGTTCACGGATTTAGTGCGTGCACTGTAATAGCTTTATAACAACGATAAACGTAACGGTAACGCGGGATGATAATCTGAGGATGCGCAGGTAAAGAAAGCGATATAGTACTAACACGATAATGTTGAAGATAATAAATAATGATAATGATCAAGATGTAATGAATGTTAAYAATAGCTTTATGAAGATAAAGACAACGATAGTATTAACACGATAATGATAAAGATGATAAATAACAATGATAGTGATCAAGATGTAATGAACGGCCAAAGTAAGYTATAACGCAAAACGCGGGATAACGACTAAGATTTAACAACAAGGATAATTATAGTGATAAAAATAGTTAGGAAAATGACGAAAGCGATAAAACCTTGATGATAATAACACTTTGATGACAAGGAAAATTGAATCGATAGCGCTAACAAATGAATACGCTCATATAGGCAYGGGAATTGGACATTTGGGCACTTTGTTGTGGCATGGAACTGAGATAAAACGAAAGTTGAATTAATAGGCCCTTTGCAGCTAAGCAATCACGTGCTGATTAATTCACTGAGAGCAAATGAATGAACATTTTGATTCCCATGGGTGAAATTTACTGGACTGCAAACAAACTTTCTACAACCTRTTTTGAGAGATCGTAATAAAACTGCATTTCGTAACACACTGGATACAYATGTTTTCATTCAGTTCTTTACAAGTAGCTAAAAAGAATCACCAATTTAACATTAAAAAATTTTGCAGTCCAGTACAGACACGTGACCGTTAACTGCAAAGGGCCTATTGAATTGAATTTGGGCCTACAAATCATTCGCCTAATAAAACAACCGTCATTTCAAGACCACCCCC